TCCGTCCTTGGCTCTGATGCTATGCTCTCGACGGAGATGGGTCAATGCCAGGCTGATTTCTTGCTCATTCTTTGGCTTGACGATGCATGCTGGGATGATGTCTCGGTTCTGTGAGGAAAACCAAACTTTCAGAGAAGCGTTGAATACAAGCACATCTGTCGGGAGGATGAGGCTATCGGGAAGTGCGATGGCCAGGTCTCGGATATACTTGGCAGGCTCTGGATGAATAATTATCGCTTTCGGCTCATTGATCTCCCCTTTTTTGGCTGATTCTGCAGTTGAAGAGAACCACAGGCGGTACAGAAATGCAACGGGAATCAACACGGCTAGCGTGGTGCTCGCAAAAATGATGAATGTCTTTGAGTCCATGGCGCTGCGGTCGGTCAATTGAAAGTCGCGGAATCGCATGCCGATGATATTCAGCGTGATGAGGTACTTATCCCTGTGGCGGGAGCCCCTTTCGATAGATTTACGTTCGTAGCATCATTTTACTGGATCTGCAGACTGAGATTTGGATCCGACCGAAATGAGTTAGTGCTGACATCTTGATTATCAGGGGCTACGCGGGCCTAGAAATAGCAAGGATCTGGAATCCTTCACGATAAAAATGGCACACAGCCAGCGACCGACACGACAATCAAAAGAATCTGGGCTGCCGGTAAAAAGACTCCGCGCCGGAAACACTTGAGCTTAACACACTCGTATTATCTTCGGCTTCCTGTGTATTCCTCCCCCTGGCGGCGTTTCTTCCCAGTCACTTACTTAGACACCAATTTGAGCCCCTCTGCCGAAAGAGTTCGGATTGGACAAGTTCTTTGTCTTATTCATGGGATGATGACCTTTCTGAGCATAGTATCACTCTCCCCATCCTTTCTCATCCTCGATTTATTCCCGTGCTATTCATCCACAGGGCTAGAGGATGCCGTATGGGACAGCTTTCGAAAACGATATATCCCAGTGGCCTGGCTGACCTATGCAGCATTCCAGGATCCTGCTCATCTTTGCACCTAGCTTGTAAGTCTAAATCTTCTTCTATCCTATCGCGACCTGGGTTGAGATCCACACATCGTTGAACTTTAGCCCTGAGTTCCAGATTCGAGAGGCCTCATTTCTTGAGGAGGTAAGTCACTTACACCAAGTTCCTCATGAATTTATGGAAGGAATTGCGGCCTTCCAGCTCGAATTATGCTCGACATCATGGATGCCATGCTCTTGTGAGGGCTTGTATACATTCCGGCTTACCCGAGGTAAACCTACCAGTCACGATAATTTCGAGCGCCACCTTTACTGCAGTCGATCAAGTGAGCTTGTGGGCATTTTGAAACACCCTATTCATATATTGGTGTCAGATCCCAGACGTAGATTCGACTTCACTAAGCCTCTTGCCAAGTTATCCTGAGCGACTCACTCTCAGCCACAAACGTGACGTACCATCCGCCATTTTCGAGAAGCCTCACCGCTCTGTAGACATTAGGCCTCAGACGAGATATGTATACATCATGAAATAAAAGGTGTCGGCGTCATGATGGAGAGCTATCAACTCACGACGATTCGTTGTGAATCGTGACACAGGCCTTCGTGACATCCCGATTGGCTAGGTGTTACGAACAACGTAAGTATATACTAAAGAGGAATGGTCGCGTGAGTTTGGCAAACCATATGAAGGCATTCCAAATGCGCCTGCTAGGGAAGTTCTCCGATTATAGTGTAAGGAAGGAGTCCATCAAACACCACCCAACGTTCATTGCAATCGAAATCTGCCTTCACCTGCTGGGCCACCAATATGCATGGTCATGTGACTATTCCATGTTGGGGGCCAAGAACTATTTTGATCACCATGCAGTCCAACGAAATGGGTCCCTTGACAAGCCCCGCGCTGAACCACTTTATCACCACACTCCTAGGTACTCAACTCCATACCGATCGCAATCACTGTTCTCTTGTCGTTGTAAAGAAAAAAATGCCTAACTACGTCTACGAACCTTTGGCTGATGGCCACATCAGGCTGATCGAACTGCACTCAGGTCTTCCCACTGATGACATTCAGCTGAGCATCCACCATGTTGCCCTGACGCCGTCCGACCTACCACCGAGACTCAGTTTGCGACACCTCGCGGAAAGGCTACCTGAAGGCTGGGAGGCTCATGAGGATATGTCAGGTAGACTTTTCTTTCTCCATGACGATGGCAGAGGCAAGCCCATACGGCAGTGGGCGCACCCAGATCCCGACTTTGATCTGAGCCCGTACCAAAAAATCCCTCAGTCCCAGCACGATCCAGGCTTTGAAGCACTGTCCTACACATGGGGCTCTGCTGATGATTTGGAATGCGTCAAAGTGATCCCACGAGACCACTGCCCAAGTCAGAGCAGCTTCCGCGCGCTCCATATCCGTCGAAATTTGGCCTCTGCACTGCGCCATTTGCGATATGAGAATAGACCCCGCATGCTCTGGGTCGATGCCATTTGCATCAATCAGCAAGACATCGATGAGGTCAATATACAAGTCAAAGGAGCGGCGTCTGTGTACAAGGAAGCGGTGCGAGTCATGATTTGGCTTGGGCTTTCTTCGCATGACAGTGCACTAGCAATACACGCCCTCAGCAATCTCGGGGCTCAAGTGATAGTGAGGGCTGATTCATGGATTTGCAGCGCACCTGATGCAACAGAAGCAGATTGGCACGACAGAAACGTCCTGCTACCGTACGATAAGGCAACCTGGTTGGCTATTGATTCGTTACTGAAGCGTGCCTGGTTCAGTCGTATTTGGATTGTGCAGGAACTGCACCTCGCAAAAAATGCAGTGTTTCTGTGCGGCAGGGATGAAATGACCCGCGAGGCATTCGGACATTCTGTCATCACTCTGAAGATGAAACATGAACTTGACCCAGCATTGTCACGAGACACGTTGGATCCTGTCTGCGGCCTGGCCATACCCATTCGCTCAAATACCCCCTCGTACCACATCTTGAGACGTACTTCACGCGGCAATTGTACGAACGACAAAGATGTCATATATGGCGCCCTGGGATTATTTCCAGCCCGTCTAAGACAGCAAATCTCTGTCGAATACAAGCCTTCTACGTCAGAGGTGTTTGCTGCCTTTGTCAAGTCTTATATTGAGGTTTATGAGCGGCTCGAACTCTTACGAATGTGCAACTTTCGAGCACGACGGCTCGGTATGCCAAGCTGGGTACCTAACTTTCCTTCCTTAGACTCAACCAGCTCAACTCTAGGAAGCTGGCACTTCTGCTCGGGGTACTCAAGATGCCAAGTTGAAGTTCGGGGTGTTAACCTCCACGTCACGGGGGTACGCGCTGCAGCTATCCAGACTGTCGGTAGGGTTGTCCCCGATTCCGGCGAAGGTAGTTCCGACTCCATTTACGATACTTTAAGTACTGTGAGAGAACTGCAGAAAGATTTTGAAGGCATGAAATCACTTAGTCTCTTGGACTTCTTTTGGATTGTCTTTGGCGATTTTTTGTGTAAAAGGCTTCCCGAAAACATGATTGGCAACCGAGATCAGTTCAAGGATAGCCTTGCCAGGTCGTTTATCTTTTCGGACGCAGAGGTTGATTCGTCGTCTTCGGAAAAAGCGCTCTCTCAGTGGGAGAACTATTTTCTGAAGATGCTGTTGGGAAGAAGGGTGTTGATGACTAGTGACGGGACTTTCGGGATTGGGCCTGCAGAGACAGAGGAAGGTGAGCGTTCGCTCCTAGGTGATATTGTTGAACTCCCAAGCTCACCGGGACTCTCTAGGCGACATTGTAGCATGTTTCCTTGGCTGCGATAGCCCGGTCTTGCTGCGTAGGGTCCCCGACCACAAGTTCGAGGTCATCGGCGAATGCTTAATGCCAGATCTTGCGGACGCTAAATGCTTCCTCGGTTCTGTTCCAACTCCTTGGGTCGTTCGCTTCTCTACAGATAGTACAGAGGGAGCTGGATTTTACCAGTACTTCAATATCTCTACTTGCGAAACAACTGACCAAGATCCACGTCTTCCTCTTTCGCCAGAATTTGAGGTGGTACCAAGGGACCAGTATCTAAGGACGGGCGACGATCCTCTCGTTTTCCAACGCTACAAAAGCCGTTCAACTGGAAACGAGACACAATCGGATCCAAAAATGACTCCTGAATATCTTAAGGCGACTGGTGTGCCACTTGTGCAGTTTTGCTTGGTATGACCCCTGGCAAAGCATAGTGGAGCGAAGGCTTCCAGCTTAGGGAAAGAGTAATTCAACGCTGATAGATATTCTCATCACAACTCTCGACCCCCCTTGCGAATCTTAGATTCCTCTTCTAATGTGACTTGACGTTAAGTAGATATAAAATAGTACCGGATTTATTTCCCAAATGTCAGTGCGTGGAATAGAGCCGAATGAAGAGGTCTTCTATACGTGGTCCGCAGGTAGTAGAATATAGGAAGGTAGAGGGTCGCAATACATCTTAATTCTGACCCTCCACAGTCCTTATGTGCAAGTTGCTCGTAACCCTTAGCCCATGGCCTAACTCCTGCTTGGTAGCTCCGCAGGGTCACCTGACCCTAACAGAGCTAACGGAAGCTGTAGTGGTATCATATCGTAAGGTAGCTATATATAGTCCCAAAGAAAGCTACTCAACTTACTAGCAAGAAGTACCTACAATCAATGCGTCGTTCAGGGTACTATAGGTACCATAGGCGCTGTGTACGCTAAAGGTAACAAGTTCTGTAGGCCAGGGGGCTCCAAGGGGCTCTCCCTCAAGGTCAAGGGGTATAGATAGATATATGGAGGTAGTATACATTAGTCAAGCAATTGAGTACGTAGTTGACTTGCAGCATCGCCGCTCATGTTCCTTTGCTTGACCCCGCATGAGTGGAGGGTACTATCAGCATTGAATCTGGCAACAGGTCTCTCTGGGTCCAATCCCTGAAATCCCATAGGACAATATCTCTTTTCATGGGATTCACCCTAAGTAGTGACTTCAACTTTTACGTCCAGTTGATCTTTTTTTCCAAAGCTGTTCTACATATTGCCCAGCTGATAGCCCTCTTGTGTAGACATATTCTTTTCCTTGGGCGTTTTCATACCGAGATATGGAAAGAACTTGTAGGGGTGGAACGCGGTGACGGAGCCGATGGCGACAAGAATCATAGCTCCATCTAGAAGCAGGAATACTGCTTCATTTCTCATGACGTCCTTTGCAATGGCCGGGATACTCTCTGCGATTCTATAGAGGTCAGAACCAGTACATGGACTGTCGCATGGAGTACATACCTGTAACAGCATCTGATAATTATGGCAGCATATGCAACAGCAATGGCGTAGACGAAGAGGGTAACCCGACGAGCTTCTCGATCCGTAGCCTCGCTACGAGATAATGGAATCACGCCGCGGTTGGTCGGGTTGAGGTGTTGCTGGTCCGAACCTATCTCCGCGGGCCCTTCGATCAATGCCTTCTTGCGACGCCTAACGTAGACAAGCATCAACGTGCTACAACAGAGCATGTTGACAACCTGAAAGACGACACCGCTGATGATCATTGCTTCGCCAAGCTTTCGAACGGCTTCATTGCCGGATCCTGTGGCCACAGTTGCTGTAGCGCCGCCTCCAATGACTTGAATGAAGATAGACACAAAATCGGTGCCTACGAAGACCCAGGGGTATAGGGAAGGGCGTAGAAGTGACCACTGGGGGCCGTACCAGAGCACGAGGCGCTTGAAAGTTATAGATATCGCGGCAGCAACGAGTGTCGGCGCGAGCAGCAGGGTAATTAGGTGAATGATGAAATAGTTCGTTTCGAAGGGGTCGCCAGCTATGAGCATACGCGCAGCGTAGCCAACAACCTCAAAACCGGTACCGATAGCGAGCCATATCATGAAGGACCACGTTCTGGCTTTGTAGCCAAAGTAAAATTGGGTGAGAAGTAGAAGAAGAAATGACACACCAAAGAATATGGCAGCGCCTTTAGATAGGAACGCTCCGTAAAAGCTAAGCTCGACCGGACAATCAGGTGACACTTCAGTGCAGTCCATCTCGAAACTACGAGTGTGGCGGCTGTTGAACTGAAGGCTATCGTGAGTGATAGCGATTACAATGGACACAAAAGAATGATTGGAAGAATTAATGCAACATACCCAAAACAGCTGGAAAGTGTCACAATATACCTAATTCTGACGAAGGGAGTGCGCATCCAGAAACAAGAACAGTTCTTCTATTTTACGGTCGTATCACTGGATAACGAAATTTACGACTTGGCATTCGGCAAGCCCAAAAGCGCGAACGCCATCCGCAGTGGGCCTCGCCACGGCGAATGCTTCGGACACATTAAGTACGCTCGCATATTCGAAGCTGTTAACCTGCTCATTTAGCATGTTCTTGTCACACCCAGTAGTCGGAGGAGACAAGAAAGCTTGTCACAGCGTAACCTGACTGCCTGCACCCTTCGTGGGCTGCATCCAAAGGCAACCCACCAAGTGGATCAGGTCCCTGTTTTTGCGGCTTAGTTGTCGCGCCCCTCGGCCTCGGTACATATGGCTCTCCGAGCTTGCCTTGGAACCTCAAATGAGTCGCCCAAGGGTCTCGTTCCGTGGCCGGTGAATGGTCGATCACCGTCAGTTGGTAGCAAGCCTAACATCTAATGCGTGCACTGAACGAGGAGATACTTGCAGCTTACAGGTTGGGCAAGGCCCCGAGCCTTCGTCGTGCGAACACTGCACTAGCACCCGACCCGGTTCCGTATCTTGAGCACAGCCTCCACAGTGTCACAGGCAAAACATGTGTGGCATGCCAGGGGTAGCTTATTGTGTCTTCGGTTCGGCTGTCGGGACTGCCAAGAAGCCGACGAAATGCATCTTTACAACCAAATATCATGACGATTGCATTCGACTTGCAATCCAGAACGAAAGGAGGGAACCCCAACGAAATCGCAGCGCGCATCTCAACGATCTAGTGGCTCTTCGAACCAGCGGGTGCCTCGCTTTAACCCTTGCAACTCGACGCTGGTGGCGCTGCCAAGGTCTGGCAGCAAGACGGAACATCCCATTAATATGAACAATTTCACCGGTGGCTTACGATGGTTCTTCCCTCACCGATCGAGAAGCGAAAGAAACAACAAGAGAACCAATCCCAGCAGGAAAGCTGACCACCACCAACTGGTGTCGGTGAATCTCACGGCCAACCCGGTTTATCAAGCTGGACAAAATGAATCCGCATGGTCTCCTGATGAAAGACATATGTTGAGCATTGGCTACAGACTGAGAAGCAGGCGCTATCGGCGTGCGTGAATCTACAGCTTGCCGCACCTGGAAAGACGCCGGCTTCTGAATCGTATGTTCCTCATCGGATACAGAGGGCTATATTGGCCGTGTCAACACAACCGAGAAGGGTAAAGCGGTAGTGATGATCAACTCGGTAGAACAGTGTCAGTCTATTGCCCTGTCAGAGCTCCAGGAACGGTGAATACATTTGAGAACCAATGATGCAACGTTCCGTGTTCATACTGTTCGATAAAGCGGTTGACGAGATATAAGATGGTCACTTCGTGGGACGTTTAGTAATTTAAAACTTCAAAGCTTGTGTACTCATATGGCTTCTCTGGAATATTGGCTAACCTAAGTATCATGAGCTGACCGGTTCATAAAAAAGTATCTTGTCACAACGTTAAGCCAGTGACCATCGAAAGCAAGCTGTCGTTGCAAATCACAATACTCCAGATTGTCAGAGACCAGTCCTGTCTCAGTTCTATTAGAGCTTGTTACATCTTTCGAGCCTTGTACTCATGTCAATATTGTCAGATGCGATAATTTCCATGTTAAATTAGGCTTCGTAGCCCCGACGAGAGACAAAAAGGGTCATTTTTGATACAAGTTATCTGATTTGTGCGTCGAGTTCACTACAGAGCGTGGGGACCGAATCCTCGAGCAAGCAATGAGCCGGTGTTAATGTAGTGACGGGGGCTGACTATAAAGGACTATGTGTCGTGAGATTTGATACTGCTAGATGTGAAGGCTGAAGGTAAGAGGGAACTACGGACGAGTGGCTGGCTAAGTTCAGTCATCGCACTACATACAGAGATGGCGATCAGAAGCTGAAGAGGCCGCTGCGTCGCTTGCCGACGGGGTAAATGATCAAGGCGCTGATGAACAGTCCCACGGCAATTCCAATGGCAATCTGGATCATGGATGCCGCAACGTTGAAGACCACGGTATTGATGGGCTCGCCCTGGCTGTACTGTACAGAGCCAGTACCATTGACCTCATGGGACGAGTTAGTGATCAAGTTGGCGGTGCTGAGGCCGCTGAGAAGGCCGCCAGTCGATGCGAGGCCTCCAGGCACCTGCGTAAAGATGGCTGGAATGAGCGTGGCGGCGGCGACGCCATGGCGAATACGTGAGTACAGATTGGCGAGAACGCCAACAGCAAGCGCACCTAGAGTATTGGCAATCTGTGGTGCAGCAACGAAGCGCCTGCCAGAAAAGAAATTGACAATATAACCAGCAGAAGCAACCACCACCATGACAGGCATCTGCTTCCACTTGGCTTGATACAGCATGCTGATGCAGACGACAAACAACGGCACGAAGATGAAGCTGTAGTAGCTGTCAATGGGATTGCGACAGGTGGTCTCGGAGGTGGCGTTGTCATCGAGAATACCGTACAGTGCAGCACCCACAGTGATCCCAAAGCCGAGGAATAACGAGTAGATGACAGCGTAGACGATTCGAATAGACCCAGGTACGATGGCCCGGGACTGCAGCTCAAGAGCTGAGCACAGGACCGCATAACCCGGCAGCAGCATGACAATGCCGCTCTGGGCGAGCGCAGAAAAGCAGAACAAGTCGCCGCCCCTGATGCTTCCAAAAGCACGCGCCAAAAAGCTGACGAGTACCGTCGCGCTAACCTCGAGCACATTGCTGTACAGCATTGACATAGGGGCAACAATGAGCTGCAGTGTTCCAACGAGACAGCCAAAGCAAAACGCTAGGGGCAGGTCAATGAGGCGTGCACTGAACGAAAATGGGGCTGCGGTTGCACTCGTGAGACCGAATACTACGACGCGTAGCCAGGCGTGGAATTTGTCTTTGGCCTTCATAAGGTCGTCAAGCTTGATAGAGCCTGCCTCGGCGCCGATGACGTCGTGAATGACTTCTTTGTAGATGTGGTGCGTATCCTTGAGACGGCCTAGGTCGATACCCTGGGTCGAACGAACGATTCTCACCTCGGTTGTATGCGTTGAACGGTCGTCAAACGAGATGATCATGCAACCAGGCAGGTATAGGAACTGACCGTCTATCTCAAGGATATTGGCAGTTGTGCTGAGATACTCCTCAAGGCGGTGAGTTGGGGCGCCAAAGAGCATCAAGGCGCGGCACAGCTTGATGATGTAGTCCTGGCGCGAGATGATCTCGGCAATGTGGACCGTGATACGCATCTGCTCCTCTTCTCTCTGCTGCAGGAAGGCGCTGAGACGTGAGCCGCTTCCGGTGCGTTTATGCATCGGCGGCCGCTTCTTACCGCCTTGGGTTCTGGCGTCTGGAGCATGCTTGGGCTCGTTAGGGTTGGCAAGGCGAGCGGAGGCACCGATGAGGTTGACGAGGGTGTCTTGAGACCGATTCTGGTTGTACCACTTTTGGCGACTCGGGGTCGTATTCCCAGTGGTGCCAGATGAGCCTGGAGTGCTGGGACCTGGCTCGCTAAACGAGATCACTGAGCTCGAGTTCGCGTGGTCGCGACTATAGCCGATGCCGAGGCTCGGCGACGTAGAGGACTCGCCCGTCGTCGCCTTCTGGAGCTGAAGCAGCTGAGATAACACATTCCCGCGGTAGTGATCAGGCTTAGCCACGCTATAGAGGCCGTCGTAGCTGCCATCGTTGAGCTCAGCTGGCGCCTCGCGCTTGTTGTCGGAGGCTTCAGTAGTGTGCCGATCATCATCCTCTGCTGAGATCTGTTGCCATCCCTGGCGAGGACTGAGATCTTGAAGTGGAATATTGTTGCTGCCATCCGCTGTGGAATCACCCTCACTGTACGTTGTGCCGGCTGCATCGGAGTCAATCGAGTATCGATTGTGTGGCGAGGGCGAATCCCGCTTGACCTTGGCAGCTACCTGTCGGGCTCGCTCCTGGGCTCGCTGCTGGGCCGCAGCCGCCGCCGCGGTTTCGCTCTCCACGACATCGTGGCGTTCGGGCTCTGTACCGGAGCGCTCGGATCAGATTGCAAGACCTTGCAGGGTGTGAGAAAGGGATCAGACGCACCGCGGAGAATGGATGGCTTCGGCTTTTGGACAATGGTTGGTTCACCACCCGCCGAAGAGCTTAATCCAGGGACAGCAACTGAGTCGAGGAAGGGATTGGTGGCTGCCGCGCTGCTGTTGAAACGCACACGACCCTTCTCCTTCTTCAGGGCTTGGGCGTGGGCTTGAGCTTGCTCCTCGTACTCTTGTGTAGGGGATGCAGCGCCGGTATCGGCCGGGTTGGCAGGCGGGGGGTCGTCATCGTCCTGAGACTGGAGAGATCCGTCCATGGCATCGCTTTTCCAAAGAATATACTGAAGATGACGGGGAGAATTATCGAGACTGGTACGAATGAATCTGGTTTGGGAGGCAATTGAAAAGTATCAAGGGAACGTTAGGAGGTGGGAGGGGGCGATGCGTGTCTGAGTAATAAGTCGATTTCTGTCCAAAAAACTTAACTTTGGAACGCGAGTCACGATACGTCATCCCCTTGGACATTTCTTACGTTATGGGAACCCGCAAAAGTTCCACCCTAGACGCTTGTCTAGTTCACTATCCAGTTTCCCCAGAATGTGATTCTGGGCCCTTAATGTTGTGGAGGTCTAGGGAGGAAAAGGAGTTGTATTGGGAAGCTATTCTCTAGGGCAGGAGGGTGCCTGGAACTAAGCTATAGGAGGGAGGTGCCAGGGCACAGGCCACCTGGCATCAGGTGACCGCTGGAAGCCCCAGGCGAATACCACCAACACTTAAAAGTTCAATAATTTTCTAATCATGGTTTCGCCACTTGGCGACAGTGCTCTCGTAGGGTTGACGCATTCTGGGATGACTTGGTCATGACATTCGCAGAGCCCTTCTTCCAACAGGCCTCTCTTATCATGGTACTCGCCACGTCCGATCATGCAGGCAGGGATCAAATGAACTTAACTTCGTATTAAAGCATTAGAGATGTTGTACCACTTACCAATCATCTGTACTTGCTTTTTTTTTTTTTTGCTAGCCGTTGAGGGAACGAGGTATACTCGAACCAACGGCTGGATGGTCAAGAGTGGCCAGGACGGCAATTCGACCAACTAATGGCAACTTGACTGTCTCGTTGTGGTCTCGAATCAAGATAGCAAGTCGGCGCCGAGCTTCCAACTGAGGATAAGGTAGCTGGATGACAGCTATGTTATTGTTCAATACAGTTCGAACTTAGCCCGCTGCTTCTGGGCTTTGGGTTTTGGAGTTCGGCCATTATCAGACAGTGTAGGGGAGGCAACACAAGCCACATATGTCTATAAATTGATCGGGGAGTTTGGATCAAGGTCTCAGTTGAATGGAGGTTTCGAGAATTCCGTGAAGTTCAAATTTGACTAGACGTTATGGCCCTCAGGCTGTACGAAGCGCCAGCTCCCAACCCCTTTGTGGTTCGACTTTCCGCCTTAGAGCGGGGGGGCCTTGACATCGACGTTGAACAAATCGATATTATGACATCACAAAATCGCAGACTCTCTCATCAAGCCACAGTCAACTCTCGAGGTGAACTGCCTGCACTTCGCGTAGGGAACGAGGTCATCACCGAAATCACAGCAATCTGTGAACTACTTGACGAAGTCGCAACTGAAGGTGAATCTCTTTCTGTGAATGGGCCCGTCGAGAGACCCAAACCCGAATATGGCTGCGTCGATCAGATCTCGTGATTGCACAACCAATCACTACCTGGTTCCGAAACGACCCAGACACTATCTATTTCTACAAAGGAACCCGTTTGCTGACTCCCCAGGCTCGAGTGAACAAGAAAGTATCTATCAATCAGGCCCTGAATCGCCTGGACGACGAGCTTGAAGGAAAGGAGTGCCTAGCTGGCGACAGATTCTCCCCCGCCGATATTCATCTCTATAGTCTCACAAAGATGATGATACCCGGTCCCTGGGGCACTGGCTGGGTGGGTGTTGGAACCTAGAAGGATGAATGCCCTGGAGTACTTTGCTCGTATGGAATAACGCGCTGCTTCTCAGAAGGCGCTGACTACCTTTGGAACTCTTTATCAAACTGTGAGGACTGCAGCTTAGAGATTGAAGCTCATAGATGCACGATGCCAATCAGGGATCTCAAGACACTTCATTACACATCATGTATCCCGTAGTTCTTCATCAAAGCTAGAGGCAAAGCAACTACTTGTGCAGCAGAGCATGTTTGCCAACCACGCCATCAAAACTCGAGAGTGTACCATGTGATGTTATTCCTTACATTGGAAAACATTTACACTAAAATCTGACTCTAAGTGATGTAAGAGAAGCATGGAACACCCCTTGATCTCAGTATTGAACTATGATCTCCGGTATTAACTGTCAACTCGTCACAGCGCAACGGCCAGAGCCTTAGGTCTCAACTGGTTATCACGAGCCTCTTAAAGGCTCAAAGCTACGGACCGCTGATAGAGAACCATGTTCCTCGGCTTTTGCAATAATTTTATGCTTTCGCTAGATACTTGTGATTTTCAGTTGCGGTAGACTCACTACGCATCTACCACCAAGTTGGTGTGATCGCCTAATTGTAATCGTTGCAATTTCATAACAACCGTTGGCTCTGTGGTGTTTGCTACTAGTGCAGAGGCGGAGCACGATGACACAAGATGAAGAGGGACTCTGGGACCAGAATGAGTGGTTCCTGAATGGTAGAGAACAAGGGTGAGATGGCAGCATTGGCTTCTCTCCCGGTACTTTATGAACATGGTGCACCGCACGGATAGTTCTGAGCTTTCAAGGCATTCCGTGGCCACAACAGCGGAGATGTCATTGCCACCAAAGCTTGGACAGCACTCGTATGGCACTATCGCTTGAGCAGCCACCCCGAATAGGACCCTTAGGCCCCGCACGAGACCCGCAGCTCGGGACCACTTCAGGCACCAAGCTTCATGATCACGAATCCCTAGCTATGAGGGACCGGCTGTGCCTGATTAATGCAATGCGACAAGGGTGAGCAGCAGCAGAAAGCAGGAACCTATTCCAAAGCAAATACAGAGTCAGTCCTCAGTAGGGATATATGTAGGAGGTCGATAGCCCACGTGATCTCGTGTTGCAATGGCGGAAAGAGTGGGGCTCGCGTGACGAGGTCACGACAGTAACCTGGCTGTTGTCCGTCCCGCCCTCCGCAGTTTGCCTTCAAGTTACACACCACCTTCCAAACCGTAACCATGAGCGAGAAGCTATCATACACACCCCTCCGGCCCGCCGCAACGAGGTCAGGCCCCTTGCGCCTGCAGGCAACCTCAATGGCTGTCACGGCTGGCGCCCTCACCTTCTGGGTGCTCTACATGATCGGCCTCGATGGCCTTCCCGAGTCACTCCGACCACCCAGTGCCCCGAACGACTCGATGGCGAAGGACGACCTTTGTCTCACGCCGGCGTGCGTTCATGCTGCTTCCGAAATCCTTTATAATTTGTCGCCTGATTACAAGAATCTCGATCCTTGCTCTGACTTCGAGGAGCTTGTCTGCGGTGGCTGGCGTGATCGGCACGACCTGCGGTCTGACCAGGGCGATGCCTTTACAGGCACCATCATGGCGGAGAACTCGCAGCTGCTTCTTCGTCACATCCTCGAGGCGCCTTATCCCAAGTCTGCTGCAGTACGTTGACTCTCCTACGCAGCATAGCCACTTACTGACCCTCGTAGTCTGACTCGGCCGACGAAGGGAACTTCAAAAAGATGAAATCCGCCTACGACGCCTGTCTAGATGAAGACGCCATCAAGGCTTCAGGTATCGAGCCACTGAAACATACTATCGACGAGCTTGGCAAGATGTTTCCGCACGATTCTGGCAAACCGCTCAAGAACGCCATTTCTTTCCTCCACAAGTATGGCATCACACCGCTCGTCTCGGCAGGCACAGGCGCCGATGACCGCGACCCCGACACTGTGGTCATCTCGATATCTCCGCCCTGGACCTTTGGCCTCCCATCAAAGGAGCGGTACGAAGATGAGAAGCTGGTCGAGAAGTATCGCAACGTAACCGTGGAGGTCCTTGAGCTCCTTTATCCGCATGCCGACAAAACATGGTTCCCGAAAGTTACCGACCTGGAAAAGAAACTTGCTGCTGCCTCTCCCAGTACCGAAGAACGAGAGGATGTTACAGTCAGTTCTTGTTCGTCCTAGGTACATCCGGTGGCTAACTTATGGTAGAAAACCTACAATCCACTGAAACTCGAAGATGCCGCGGCTCTCGCGCCCTTGGCCGACCTCGTCGGTCTCGTCCATGACCTTGCTCCGGCGGACTTTGCTGCTGATCGCGTTATTGTCACATCGCCAGAGTATTTGAAGTCGTTGTCGGCCATCTTGTCCGAGACGCCTGCCATTGTTCTATTCAACTACTTCGTTTGGAAAACGGTACAATCGCTTGCCTTTTCTGTTGAGGCTGACGAAGTGAAACCCTACAAGCGATTTGTGAATGAACTGTCCGGAAAAGTAAGTGCTTAATGCATATTTCTTTACCTAATGCTGATCACCTCTAGGAACCCGACTCAGCCCCTGAGCGTTGGCGACGATGCGTCGGACATGTCGATGACGGTCTCGGTTGGCTTCTCAGCAGGTTCTTCGTTGAGAAGGCATTTTCGGCCGATGCAAAAGACTTTGGTGACACGATTATCAAGGATATTAAGAGCGAGTTCACCAACAAACTCAAGGCTACCGAGTGGATGGACGACGAGACGACGGAGAAGGCGATCAACAAGGTGCACAATATTATCCAGAAAATTGGTTACCCGACGAGCAGTCCGGACATTACCAACGCTACCGAGCTTCACGCCTATTACAATAGCGTCAACGTGTCGGCGTCCGACTTTTTCGGCAACGGACTTTCCGTCCGCGCATTTGATACAGCACGAGAGTGGGCCGCCCTCGGCAAGCCTGTTGATCGCAACGAGTGGGGCATGTCGGTGCCAACGGTCAACGCCTACTACAATCCGCCTGGCAATGAAATCGTATTCCCCGCTGGTATCATGCAGTTTCCTGTTTTCGACGTTGAGGCGCCGGCATACATATCGTACGGCGCTTTCGGCTCTGTGGCCGGCCACGAATTGAGCCACGCGTTCGACTCGACAGGCCGCCACTACGACGAGAACGGCAATTTCACTGACTGGTGGACGGAGGACACGGTCAAGGCATTCAAGAAGCGCACCGAATGCTTCGTGAGTCAGTATGCCAACTACACGATCGAAGGCCCCGACGGGAAACCGCTTCATGTTAATGGGCGGCTGACGCTGGGCGAGAATATTGCGGATGCTGGCGGTCTGTCGGCAAGCTTCCAGGCTTGGCAGCGACGAGCCAAGGAGACGCCTAACAAGAATCTACCGGGCCTCGAACACTTCACGCATGAACAGCTTTTCTTCGTCACTTACTCCAACTGGTGGTGCGGCAAATCGAGGAAAGACACTGCTGTCAACCGCATCTACACGGATCCGCACGCTCCTAAATGGGCGCGAATTCTAGGAACCATGGCCAACAGCAGAGAGTTCCGCGAGAGTTTTCAATGCAAAGTCAAGGAACCGACGTGCGAGTTGTGGTAGAGCGCCAGGAAAATGATATAGCAGAACCTTGGATTGCATTACTTAATACACTAGTTGATCCGCTTTGCGGCATCCTTGCGGACCTCCGCCTCGAGTTTGTGCAGGTGAAAGCGCCTATAAGTGATTTCATCCAGCAGAGTCTCACCGAACAGCCACCTGGCTAGCCAGACTTGAGTAGACAAGCCACCAGCCCAGAACCACTTGCGCGTACCGCCGAGCAGTCCGCCGAACCACCCCTCGCCTCGGAGGGCTTCAGAAACCAGCTGCTTAGCAAAGGTCGCATTGTTCATGGTGGCGTTATGCTGCGACCACTGCAGGCGAGCAGCAAAGAAATTCTTCATACGCATGTACAGCGAGCCGGCAGGCAACTCGCGATGAGCCTTGGGATTGGATGTGCTGACGGTGCCCGTGATGGACACAAGTACACGAACACCGAAGGGTCGCAGCTCCTGGCGTAGAGTGCGGCTGTAAGAATTGATGGCTCCCTTTGTGGAGCTGTAGACGGATGCGAAGACGTAGGGCGAGACAGACGACAGCGAGCTTATGTTGACAATGAGGCCGCGCGTGGCGATGAGAAGTGGCACGAAGGCCTGAACCATTGCCATCACACTGAAGACGTTGGTCTCGAAGGTGGCACGAACCTCGTCCAGGTCGATATCCGTCGCTGGTATCGTGTGGCTCACGCCGCTGCGGTACTCAGTAAGTGCTTTGCATTATGGATGGGCAGCCCTACGCGTTATTCACAAGGATATCCAGGCGACCGCCAGTCAGTTCAGTGACTTGGCGCTTACACTCCGCGATGCTCTCTGCATTGGTCACATCAAGAGCAACGGCAGAGACTCCGATATCAGAGAGCTCCTTCAAAACCTCAGGCCGGCGCCCAGTGGCGATAACATGGAGCCCGCGGGCATGGAACTCTTTGACCAAGGCATGGCCAATTCCACCTGGTGTACAGCTACTGTCGTTAGTCAAATCCGGAGAGGGACCAAGAAAGAACAGCGCATTCACCCAGTGATCAGAACCGTGCGACGACCCTGTGAGACGTTGGCGGCCATTGTGAAATACTAGCAACAAATGCGATATTGAGGTGTAAGATAGACAGTGATGCGGTTCGCTGTTCTTCTCAACGTCGTACCAACACACAGTGAGATGCTTGGCAAAGATCCCGAGGCACAGGCAGGCGGCACAGACGAGTTTTCACGTGATGCCCTTGTCAAGCTCCAGGCCGCAAGGCCGGGGCTACAACTTCATCTTCAACACCAGAATAACGTCTGGAGCAGACGCAATGCTGCAAGTGCCATAAGCTAGTGTGAAGCTACCTAGTGCAAGGTTCCATTCGCGCAGTCCGCGGACTTGAAATTAGATCGTAACGATTTGAGCAAGTCCAGACAGTGACATCAGAGTGGTAGGACCACCACCTGTCAACGGCCCACTTGGGCTTCCATGGTCACGTGACACATTGACTCACCGCCAAGGCAGAAAAAGTTTCTAGCTGACTGCTGCTATCGCAATATCGTCAGGCACTATCACAGCTTCATTTGCGCCAATTCGTCAACGCTCGACTCTCAAAAGACCGTCAAAATGCATCTCATGGTTTGTAGTACACATTGATTCGAATGTCTTCAAAGTTACTGACAGTCTACCCCCAAGTATACTCTCGACGAGGCGGGCAACCGCCTGTACACTCTCAAGAAAGTCACCGACGATGCCAAGGTCACCAAGAGCGCTCACCCTGCCCGTTTCTCTCCCGACGGTATGTGCAGCCTCTTATGGGTCAATTGATGATTTATCTGACGATATGTAGACAAGTGGAGTCGTCAGCGCGTGACGCTCAAGCGCCGTTTCGGTCTCCTGTTGACACAGCAGAGTAAGTTGATTGTGGACTGGATTTTACAAGGCTTTCCGCATGCTAACGCTCCACGCAGAGGACAAGGAGCACGCTGCCTGATCAGTCCATGGGTACCGATTGATTTCCTTCCTCGAGACTGACTCGCGGTTGGATTGAGAGAGAAGTACATGGGCGACAGCTCGGGGGACCTCCATTGTCTCGTTGAGGCACGGCGTTGCAGGTTGTGTTACAAAATGGGGTGGCGTTCAGTGTCTTTCAAATACAAATGCATGGTCCACGCGACGACGCAAGAACATCGCTTTTTATTTTCGTCGATCTGGTATCATCCCTCTGGCCGTTGTGCGCTCCAAGATCTAGCTCCTGGCGCGCTTCGCGTTGACGCTACGACCAGGACCCAACCTCAACTTGCCATTGCTGCCAGTTCTCTCACCGGTGATGATGTTGGGCATATAGTCTTCGTCCATCAAATCCTTCTTTCGCTCGCGACGCTTCTCCTCCACAGCCCTCTCGTACTCTTTCTGGTCCTCCGCAAACAGAAGCTTCGTACCCCAGTTGTTCTTGCCACCGGCGCTCTTGGACGGCAGCTTACCGCTGGCCGTGCCTGCGACAGCCTTGGGTATGCTGAAGACATTGCCACGATTATTCCACTGGAAGTTGCGTTTCAGGTGGATCTGGAACGAGCCATCATCGGCCGTGGTACACGACGTCCGCGTCAGCGTTGCCTGTCCGCACTTGGGGCAGAACTGGCGATCCATCTTCTTGCAAACCTGGAAGCAGCCGTGGCAGCGAAGCACCCAATTTTTTACCTGTGTGATGCGTGACATTGCTGGGGAGAGGAGGTTGAGGCCGATTCGCAGAGCAACATTTTGCATGGCGTAGTCGGATGTCAGCATGGCCACTTTAAGAGAGACGGCGGCAGTCGTCGGCAGAACTTCCTTGGTGTCCTTTGCCTGGTGCTTCTTCAGATTTGAAGGTGTGATCCATCCGTCGTCCGAGTCAGCTCCATCGTCCTCTGCTGGTGCGCTCTCTGGCGTGAGCTCAGCCTGGAAGTTGTCTTGCACTTCCAGTTTCTCCATTTTTCTGTTGACTCCCGCTGTGGGGTCGGCCTTTGCTGGTACCTCGACCCAAGTGCCAGCCTTCTCGCTATCATCTTCCGTGTGCGCTGCAAGAGTTTGCTCCATCGCAGTAGGCACGGGCTCGGGTACCGTCTCCGCAGGCGAGACGTTTGTCGTTTCAAGCTGGCCCTGTGCTGCTGCCGCCACTGCCGTCTCACCGTCGCTGTCCTCCGCTACATTGACGCTATCTTTTTCTAGGCCGCCGACGTTTCCAGGCGGCTTACCGCTGATACCCTTCTGGTTCGGGTCCTTCCGCAGCCTCCAGTCGCCGTTATTCTGCTCCAGTTCAAGTTCATAGGTGAGCGCCAGTAGTTGAATGTCGGGCCTGCTCATGACTTCAAGGTCGCCAGTCCGACGCGCGAAATCGGTAATGAATTTGACGCTCGCGGGGCGGGGATTCCGTAACTTCACAAAGGGGAGTAGCGTTGTCTCAACTCGGGTGCGCGTAGCGGCATCGCGAATTTCGTCAATAATCGACGGCAGTGTGTAGAGTTCGTCCGCCTGGGCGATCAGCGTGCTGACAGGGGGGTCGTTCTTGATCAACGGGCCTGTGTCGAGGCAGATGCTGTGTATAGGTTTCCTCTGTTCGGTCGTAGGTTTCTCGGAGGGGACAGTGGACTGCGCGTCAGCCGCCGAAAGTTGGGCGTCGACCGACATGACGACGGACGGGAGACTAAATAGGCCGGGGAATGATGCGGCCGAGGCGTTCTCAAGTGCGATCCAGACCAGTAAGCTTACGGAGCGATTTGCGGTGTACGGTGAAGGCAAACTCAGCGTTGTGTTGAAGTTGTTTTCGGGGTAACTGGAAATTTCTTTATCGCGGGGTGTGGTGGTGGGTGGCGGGGTATGAACCAGAATGCGATAAGAACAGAAAAGTGGACACAGCACCGTGATGGATGACAACATTTAGTGGCAACATAAGCAAGGTCTAGTATGTGAGTAGTGAAATGAACTCGTGTGAGTAGTGAAATGAACTCGTATAATTCGTTTATCATAAAGTGTTGTACAATTCGGTATATACATTTTGCCGTATCCAGGCGACGTTATATCTCCAATGGATGTCCCATGCGCCCTGGGAGGTTATACATAATCGTGCTAGGTGATAAACCTATCATTTGTCGGTTGGCGATTATCGTAACATGTAAGACAAATCTGGCAAATTTCGGACGAATTGGTCGACAGTCAGCTCGTTACTGAGGTAGTCGCTCTTTGATGAAGATCCAGGAGCTGCAACTTCTTCGACTGTCTGAGGAATCTGCTGCATTATGGCTGGCAGAATGGGTGTCTGGGGGGTAACTGCTTGTGCATTTGTCGCTTCGTTGTCCACCCATTTGCCAAAGCCCCAGTCGTCTGGCTTCGAGACAGTTGCGGCCTGAGCATGTATCTCCGAGCCAGCAATTTTGGGAAAGTTGTCGACTGATGGTGTCACCATCTCACCCCACTCGTCGTCCTCGTCTTCCTGTGTATCTGCTAGCGGTAGGTTCGTTCGTATGGCGAGGCCGTCCGGAATAGGCGATGATGTATGCTCGCTCGACTTTTGATTAGGAGAAGACTCGTGGTCTCTGCAACCACGGTCATCTGATGTTGCACGATTCATCGGTGGGGTTTCGCGTGTGCCATCTTGTAACTTATCGCGGCCAGTGGTCCAGCCAAGGGCAGCCTGATCATGCCAGGTGTTCAAATTGACAGCCAGCGGTGGCAGACTCAGAGGTCGTGACTCGTTGACAAGAATGGCTGGACCAGGAGACTGTCCAATCATGGATGAGCGTTGAGGGGTGGCCAGGGTGTCATTTTTCTTGAGATGCCTTCGGCTGAAGAAGTTCTCGAGATCAACCTGTGTGCTGGCCTTGTCCCATCCAAAGCCATGACCACCTACGCCTTTCGCCACGCCCGTTCGAAAAGGCCTTTGCCCTATCGAGTCTTCCTCCATCCAGCGGCGGACCGTCTTCAAGGCGTCTGACCTTACGGTCGATGAGACCCACGTGATACGAACGTAATTGTCATCATTTCCCGTATCATATCTTCTGAGTGACTCATAACGCGAGAGACGATACCACATTCTCCGCTCAGAGACACTCTCAAAGCTATCAACGATGACTTGATCAGGTACTTCAACATCCGCGCCTGTTACATTGCTTGCAGAGAATGCAAATAGGGATTCAACCTGCTCGAGGTCGACCTTGAAGGGTTCGTGGTTTGCGACTTTGGTCGAAAGAATTTCCGAATGGTCGTTTCCAGGTAAGTGATCATCCGCGTAGTTCCTGGGTATTTGGTGCTCCGCCTGGAGTCCCTTCGGCATAACATGAGCTTCAATATATTCGCCGTTCAATATGGCTTTATCCTGCCCCGTGGCATTCCTTGCATCGATTCGGTCCGGTGACGATGACGTGAAATTCCTTTCGCCAACAGCTTCTTTGCTGCTTTTGAGGTCGGTAGCTTTTATGTCAGCCGATTGCGAGAACTCTATGGCTATCGGCGATTGGCTTGTGCTTCGCTTTGGTGGAGGCACCAGCTCGGGGGGGTTGTTGCTCTTCCTTGCGATGCCGTCGTACATCTCCACCAGTTGGTGCACCTTAGAGCTTCCACGCTCACCAGTAGAACCTGGCTCGCCTTCTTCGACGGGCGTGATGGGAGAGCCCTCGCGTGTCGAGTCGTGCGGTCCGTCGCCGTCGGATGTTGATGCCGTGGCCGAGCCAGCTGGCTCGACGTGTGAGTATGGTGGTGTAGGACGATCATCGGCATGGTCTCCCGAGGAAGAATCATGGCGTATGGAAATAGCAATAGCCGGACGTGGCGAATGTATTGTAGTCGAAACCTCTGAAGCGGGCGGCAGCCTCTTGTGTGGACTCAGCTCAAGACCTGTCGGCAGTGCTGGGAGGCGTTGGATCTCAGTGAGTGGTCCGGCAACCTCATGGCGTACGTCGTTTAATGAATTCTCGGAGGACCATGGATCGTGGGTCAGGTGATCGGAGGACAGCTTCTTAGACAAGGCTCTACTCCGCTGTCCTGGTGATGTGGATCGACTACTAGGCCACCTGGGTATGCTCTGTTTTCGCTTCGCCTCGTATTTAGGTGTCAACTGGCCTGCGTCGCTAAGGGTCGCGTTGCCTAAAGCCAATGTTCCCCATGTTGCGGATACAGACTGTGCAGATTCAGGGGAGGCCCAATCGCCAAAGGAGTCGTCTTCCAGCCAAGCAGACTGGCTGGATGGTAAATTTAGGTTGTTTGGTGTTGTCGTGAAGAACGCGGGTGGTGGTGGCTCAGGATTTGCCTCGGTTGGTGCGTATTGGCTGTTTGATTCGGTATCGGGAGTTGCCCACGGTGAGCCCCATGGATCTTCCATCGTGACGTCTGAGTAGGCATGTTTGTGGTCGTGACAGCCAACGGTGGGGGTTGCGCTGTCAAAGGCAGGACGTCGTTACGCGCACATGGCCGCGAGCTCCGGCAACCAGTGAACCAGTGATGCTAGTTCCGAATTGAGAGTGGTAGAGTCAAGTCTTGCTCAAATGATGAGTGTATGGGTGTTTCTCCAAGCTCAATTATAAGGAGATTTTAGACGGCACAGGTATTTTGATGCTTCTGAGTTACTGCCGCCTGGTCGAAAGGCACCATGCACATCAAGGGCGAGGCTTTGGAAACCTGTCTCAACTCCTGCGATGGTCCAGATCTCGCTTACCTAATGAAGCTGACCAAAGACGCCAGCTCTTATCGATTGTCAGTGCTACAGAGCAGCGAGTGGCAACTCACAATGACCCCTTGTCGTTGTTTTCGACCAGAATGTTTAAATTGCTGGTACTTCTGCGATCGGGGAAGATGGTAATTGCTCACGTACTTACTCTGTAGTGACTGAATGATAGATTCGCCTAGAGAGGCAACTTGCTGACCAAGCACCTGAGCCGACCATCGGCCCCCCACCTCATCAAGCCCGGTCCTCAGCAAGATCAGAGCACAAAAGGATCATACAATTGCGTACCAAACTCCTTGTCGCCATATCATCAAGATGTCACTTTCAAAGGTCAAACACATCGTTCTGGTATGTTTTTAGAACGTCACCACATCGTGCCTCTGTTGACCCCGATAGGTTTTGTCCGGCAAGGGTGGCGTGGGCAAGTCGTCCGTGACTACTCAGCTGGCTCTGTCTCTGACTCTTGCGGGGCATTCTGTTGGTGTTCTTGACGTTGACTTGACGGGGCCATCGATTCCACGAATGCTCTCCATCGAGGATGCCAAAGTGACACAGGCCCCAGGCGGCTGGGTGCCTGTGTCTGTTCATGAGTCGAGCCATGAGCAGGGTATTGGGTCTTTTCGAGCAATGAGCCTGGGATTTCTTCTTCCGCGACGTGGAGATGCCGTTGTGTGGCGAGGCCCCAAAAAGACCGCCATGGTCCGGCAGTTCCTTTCCGATGTTCTCTGGGATGAGACTGATTACTTGCTCATCGACACCCCGCCCGGAACAAGCGATGAACACATTTCGCTGGCAGAGACCCTCCTGCGGGACACTTTTCCTGGACAAGTTGCTGGCGCGGTTGTTGTGACGACCCCGCAAGCTGTGGCAACGGCAGACGTTCGTAAAGAACTCAATTTTTGCGCAAAAACCAACCTCAAGGTCCTCGGCGTCATCGAGAACCTGAGCGGCTTTGTGTGCCCGCACTGCGCCGAGTGCACCGACATTTTCAGCTCTGGCGGCGGCGTCATCATGGCCGACGAGTTTTCCGTGCCGTTCCTCGGCACGGTACCCATTGATCCTCAGTTTGGCGAACTTGTAGAGACGGGCAAGAGACCACTGTACCCCCAGGGCACTAAAATCGATGGTCGTGATATCAGTGCGACAGCGGAAGTACAGATTCCAGACGGCGACACGTTGGTGGAGAAGTATCGAGCCTGCTCACTGGCACACATATTCGCAGGCATTACCGAGAAGCTTACCACTACTATTGCCACAGCAGGACAGCCCTGAGTGATTATCTTATGCGATGATTAGACCCCATGGCAAGAATGCACATCAAGAACATCAAGCTCAGCTTCACAGCGCATCGGAGGAGAAGGCTGCGAATGCCGAAGACAAGCCGCCGCACAGGACAGGCTTGGCACGCTGGAGAATGCCCCAGCGCATCATTGATAGCGATGCGAGGCCTGATCATAGGTATCACCAGAAGCGCTTCGACCTAACTGGACAAGTCGAAGGAAATGAGGATGCATACTAGGACAGTGGTTGATATAGGGACCAGAAGGCCCAAAAGCGCTCAAAGCGCATGCATTGGCCATGCAAACCTGTCACAATGAAGACCATCACTTTCTCGTTGCCTCAAATCGGTGGTCGACACTCCCAATTGGACTGGCTGATGACGTCTGAACCCCACCTTGCTGTCACCCCACCATTTAAAAATCGGTTGGTGGCATTGACGAAAACAATGCCGAGAGGGCCAGCCGCCAGGGCGAGGGAGCCAGCACGCTTAGGGGACCTGTTTTGGTGGACAATCCCACTAAGATGCTACCAGGGGAATCCTCGGCGGCTTCAGCAGTCGCTGCGGGCTGTCACGGAGCACACATTCAGGCACTTGTTCCTGCTGGCCGTTAGACCCCGCCGCCCGCCCTGGAGATGCCTAACATCCAACCACAATTTTTCCAACCCAACCTTCAATCGATCGAACGAAAATCTCTCACCGACACTCTTGCATGCAAGCGTTACCTTTTACATGAGGAGTTTCTTGATCTCCCATTTCAATTCACGTGTCGACTCTCTGTGGAGAGCTCGATAACCAAGGGACTTTGCATCCTGCCGTTTGCAAAACCCCGCCTCGACGTCGCCTGGAGCCGCAACACCACAAAACTTTGCGCGTGCTCGACGATCGCAAAACATCACGAGATCAGTTGCAGCGTCAATATTCCATGAACTCCAGCAAGATCCTACGCTTCCTCTCTAAGCCTTCCAAGTATGCCCGCCTCTCGCTTGCTGCACCATGCTGCCGCTGACTTGAACATAGGCCTCGATAACAGCACCCAGGCCAATACCGACCATATTCTCGTCGACTTCCCCACGGGCTTCCATCCTCAACCTTACACTCCAGACCCCTCGTCTGCTGGGTCCGATACTCCACCAGTATCGGTGTCTGTCAGATCGAGGCCTGCTCCAGGCGTCAACATTCCGCTGCCCAGGATTCTCCTGCTCCCGCCCCAGACTCGACCCCCCTAACGTCCCTTGAGAGACGTTGACACTTTTACACTACTTATTGTAGCTGGCGCTGCCAGCCTCACCGACCAATTGCCTTCCTGTGGGCCTACTCTCTCAAACGGACTTGTTTGAGCGGCAGCTAGTGCTCCACGGACTTTACGACAATTGAAAAAGCAGATTCAGCCTGTGAAGATGACGTCGGTTCCAACCAACTATACCTTCTCGCCATCCGAGGGCACACCTCACCTGACTATCAATCATGATGTTGCGGCCGAGCTAGACTCTAGCAATGCTTTTGAGGGTAGGTCATTGTTTTCTTTACCTGTCACAAATTGATGGTTCCTGACTGTTTCACGCGCAGGCCCTGAGAAACTACTTGAGGTGTGGTTTGCGCCCAGTCCGACCTCGCTACCCCCGAGCGCCCAGCCTAATGGTCTCAAGGCCGTCTCAGCCGACGAATGGGTAGGCATGCTTGATATGGTCAACTGCAAAATTCTATCTGTCCTCGAGTCCGAGACGGTCGACGCCTACTTGTTATCCGAGTCTAGCTTGTTTGTCTTCCCTCACAAGCTGATTCTCAAGACGTGCGGGACCACGACTTTGCTCCTCGGGCTTCAGCGCCTCCTGCATATTGCCGCGCAACATGCTGGATTCCCTTTTGCCAACGCCTCACGTGCGACCGACATCAAGGCCGCGGCCACGCCCTACCGCGTCTTCTACAGCCGCAAGAACTTTCTCTTCCCCGACAAGCAGCAAGGTCCGCACCGCAGCTGGAAGCAAGAGGTGAAGTATCTTGATGACATGTTCGAGGGGGGCAGTGCCTATATGGTAGGCAAGATGAACGGCGATCATTGGTACCTTTACATCACTTCGCCGAATGAATCGATCACACCTCCCCGCACCCCTGAGGAAAACGATGGTCGTGGGCACATTGCCAGGATTCCTGCTAGCATCCTACGAGGCGCCGACGAGCCCAGCGATGAGACGCTCGAGATCCTCATGACCGACCTCGATGAAGAAAACGCGAAGCAATTTTACCTTGACAACGCAAGCGCTCTGGCAAGCGAGCAGCTTGCAGCTCGGGCGCAAAAGGCCCGTGATGAGGCGCGCCAAAGTCTTGGGGACCTCACTAATGGCCAGCAGATTGATGAAGATGTCGACGTTTTTAGCAACGGTAGTGACGCTGAGGCGCCCGAGCAGGTGCTTACTGAGGCCTTGACCACTGAGGGTCATGCTCTCGGCACCGTCGTCTCCGAAGCCTGCGGCCTCTCTAACGTCTATCCGACCAGCAGGTATCCTGACGCACGCGTCGATGCGTACCTGTTCAGTCCGTGTGGCTTCTCGGCCAACGGCGTTGTGCCGGCGGCTCCTCAGGGCAATGCCGAGGACGGGAAGAGCAGCTCGATTCATTACTTCACCGTGCACGTCACGCCGGAGCCCAACTGCTCCTTCGCGTCCTTCGAGACGAATGTTC